GTGAGCCAAGATCCTGCCACTGCACTCCAGCCTCGCAGCAGAGCAAGACTCTGCTTCCAAAATAGATATATGTATTTTTTCTTCCATACAAGATTCTGCCCAGAGTCAGAAATTGTATTTAGTTGTCATTTCTAGTTGAACTTCTTTAATCTGGAATATCTCCACAGCCTTTGTCTTTAATGCCATTGACATTTATTGGTCTCCTTCCTTTTCATTTAATGCAAACTTTTAATTTTGTGTTTATCTGGTGTTTGCTTGTTATTTGATTCAGACTTTTCATTCTCAGCTGTAATATTGCACAGGTTATGTGTCCTTCTTAGAACGTCACATCTGGAGACACGTGATATCTATGTGTCCCTTACTGGTGAAGTTAGCTTTGATCACTTGTTCAAGGTGCTGTGTGATTTACTTTGCTGTGTAATTACTTCTTTTTTTCCCCTGTAACAAGTAGGCAGTCAGTGGGGAGGAACTTTAAGACAATGTAAATATGCTGCTTTTTAGCAAAAATTATTGCTAGATCTACCATTTACTGATAATGTCGTCCAATCCCTATTATAAAGATGACAACATAATTTTCCTAGTCTGATTGGGCCAAGACACTGGGTGACCTGCATGACACTTCAGAAAAGGACTTCCCTTCTCTCCTAATTATGTACTTTATATGTGTGCATGCATGCATATACGTCTTTGTTTAGGTTATCTCTATGGACTCATATGTTTTATTTTTTAGTATATTACAGGGCATTACTCTACTTATAAGCATCCCAGATTTGAATAGTGGGAACTCTTATAGGTAGCGTCTATGTCTATGTCTAATAACCCCTCCCTCTTTGTTATTTTAGCAATCCCTTATTTTCTGCCATAGAGAGATATTCCCAACTCACTTTCTAACTACTCTACCTCAATCCTGAAATCAACTAATTTCTGAGGAGCCTTGCCTAAAGATGTACTTGTCTGATCAGTTTGGTCAACTGGACAACCTCTCAAGGCATTGTTGACATTTTTCTTTCTCTCTACTCAATCTGAACAATAGACATTAGTAGAAAGAGTAGTTTATTAATTGAACATTTATTTAATACATGTCAGGGATTGCTATGCAATTTTTATAAATTAATTCAAATATGTAACAGCCTACAAAGTAAGTGTTGCTATCACAAGTTTACAAATGACAAAATGAAACCCTATATAGTTAAATGACTTATCCAAGTTTATTTAAAAAATAATTACAAGAGTCAGCTGTGGACATAGTTTTGCTTAGCTGCAAATTGCCTCCTTATCCTATTAGATTCTACAGCTATGATGACATACGCATTAATTGTGGCATACTAAAATATAAAAGCAAAATGTAACAGATAAGACTTACCAGTTGTTCAGGATTTATGATGTTATTTTTCTGAACAGTTTGTGGGGTTAATAGTAAAATTTAAGTAAAATTAGGTTTGCAGTTGTGACAGTAGGTAATTGTTTCCCTCGGTAAGTGAATAGAAGGCATGCATTATTAAAAATAGCTTATCAATGATTATTGGAAGGGAAATATGATGTTAATTATAAAATATTCAATCTCTTAGTTAAGCTAAATTTGTCCAGCTACCTAATTTACCATAATTACAGCTCATATAAAACACCACTAGAAGTCAGCATGTTTTTCTGGTCTTCTAGTTTCTCTCTCTTATTATGACTTGAGAGCTACTAACTAACTCTTTTCCCACTGCCTGCAAGTTCTCTTCTATGCCAATCTCTGACTATGCATCAGAAGAACTGTTGTGTTGTAGTTTTCAAATAACAACCTGATTAAATAACCTCTTCCTTAAAACTATGTCCTATATAGTTGACAGGCTGATCTAACAGAGGGTCTGGGTGCACTCTCCCCTTGGTTCAACTAGCCAAGTTCTGTTTTCATCTGATTCATGTATTGATGTACAAGTAATAGTTTTATTAAATAAGAAAACGTTTGTCTTAGTCTACCATCTGTTAGCATGAGATAAGCCCTCACATTGCCATGAGCTTTCATAGCTTGTCTGTATAATGGGTGTACTATATTTATCCTACCTGGATCACAGAGAGGTTTAGCTGTCATAAAATGAGACAATTCATGTGAAAAAGTTTTGGACATTGTGAATTTTATGCAAAGGTAGAATACCTTCTTAATTGTGGATTACCATCATTACTATCCAAAGCTGGAGAAGAATGTCATCAAATGATGTAAATAAGAGTCTCTGCAGAGGATTTAAAAGTGTTCTATCTGAGGATGGACACTTTCTTGCACTACTAGTGAAATCCTTTAAAATACACTCCAAGACTACCTAATAGTGTATTGCCAAAATAAATTCAATAAGTAATTCAGTAAATATTAGGAAATGATAATGTTTTCTTGTTAGGCCAGAAAACACATTGTCTCACATATCAGCTGTTGGCAGTGGATACTAGGAACAGGTTTCACACACGTTTTGTTTATGAAGAGCCTCCCTGCAACATTTAATGATGATGAATTGCTCCCAACTGGACATAAAAAAAATTGTGATTGTGGACAATTTGATGTATAGAACCTTTGCTGATCTGATGATCTACTGGCAGCTATTGCTAAACTTGCCTTTAACAGACTAAAAGGAAATTTACCTTTGTCACTGGAGCAAATACGCGTCTTAAAAAGAAGCCCTTGTCACAGGAAAGGCTTGAGGAACAAGCACCACATATATCTGATGAAGCACTCAGAGGTTGAGGTGTAGCATATGATGGGTCTAGGCAGAGTAATGTGAGGTGTGGACAGGAGGCAAAGGTCAAGAGTTTAGCAAGGAGCCAGCTAGTACAGTCTAAATGGTAGGATTGATTGGCAGAACAATCTAAAGAGGTAAAATAACTGTCTTTCCAGTTTATATGGTACCTGAGGGATTTCCAACTAGACTTGTCTTATAGCAAATTGTACAAACTTTTCTAGAAATTAGAGAGGATATATTCTTATTGCCTGGCCATTTAGAAATAAGCAATATACAAGCATGAGAACACAAATATTCCTCAAGATATTTTTCAACACATTATATAACAGCTTAAACAGGTGTCTAGGAGATAAATTCTTCATAGAATTATCTTTTAAGAAACTGGTCTTTAAAAAAAAAAACTCATTCACTTCCTTGTATCAGTGAATATTAGATAAACAGAATTTTCTTTTTCTTTTGTTTTCTCTGTTATGAAGTTCAAAAATGACTAGAACTCTAAATGGTAATATTATTCAATTTATAATAGTTAGCACAGCTATCTCCTTACTGATTTAACTTCTTATCCCTTTTATTGTCTACCTTGTGTTTGTTGGGTTAAGCATATTTTTCAGTGAGAGGGAAGGAATCATGCTCCTGTGTTTTAAGTATCTAAATATTTAAAGATGTATGCCTAGAGCATTCAGCTGAAAATATGTGCCCTCAGGTTTATCACATTTTGCACTTGCTGCTTCACTTAAAGCAATCTGTCCTTTTGGTCACCTTATTAATGCACATTTATAATTTTGTCAAAATTATAAAAACTTATAGTTCTGGCTTGAGTAAAAAATACAACACAGTATAATATTGGCTAAAGGCAAGTTCCTTACAGATTATGTAGTTCAAAATGTAATAGACAAAATGAATATTGCAAGTGAAATAATTTTTAAAATTAAAATTTATATCTATAAAAAAACCATACATTTACTTTCTTGGGCAATATTGATTACTCCCCAAGAATTCATCTTGGGGAATTCATCTATTAGTCATCTCGCCCATCAGTTTAGAGGAAAATAGCCAGCCTTCTATCTGCATGTTTAGTAGAGATGAATGTCAAAGACCAGAACAAAGGCCAATCCTATTCCCATGTAAGTAGATGCTTCCTAGTTGTCATCTTGTTAATAATTATGTTTAATGTCCATATCAACATATATTTAAAGACCATGCCATTGAGTCATTTTGCTATTATACCACCCACACCTTACCTTTCTTTTCGTGTCAGAAGGGCCACTCTTAGGCAGGTTCCAACATGAGTTTCTCCTACAGTGACAACAAGGTTCATTTAAGCCTAAGGTAAGACTAAGTCTTAAAATGGTTAGCAGAAAGAAGCTTGCCAGTCACATTCAATTTGACCTATCAATATAGCAAGGTTTAACATAGAAGGAGAATGTCTTTAATGTAATGTATGCTATAGATATCATTGTCCACAGGCATCAGAACCATGGTCTAAGGAATTTCTTCCTGATTTGATCCTGCAGAAGGGATACACGCATTCATCTCAGTTTGGTTCAAAGAGCAAAGAGAGTTCTAGTGTAGATTTGACATATTACACATCACCCAGAAATTTCAAATCAAAAGATGCCATCAGAGAGCATAATACTGATCTTTTCTTGTTCTTAGACATCCCATTTACCAATTATTTTCTTTATGGCCAAAGAACTGTCAAAAACCTAGCTTTGTTTCTTTTTGTTAAAGGAGCAATACTATTTACTGCAAAGAGAAGCTCAGGGTACCAACCCTTCATGACTTTATAAAATATTTTACATAAACTCTGCAGGTAATCCAGTGTAGGAGGAAATAGACTAGAAAATTACACTAAAATGCATTAAGTGCTGCAATAAACGTGCAGAGATCTATGACACCAAAATCTACCTTGGGTGATGGGAAAAATCCATGGAGGTTATGTCAAACAATCCTTAAGAATGAATAGAAGTAACCATGGCAAAGAGTGAAAGCATTCTAGAGTGCATCGTATAAGTAAAACAACAGAGTGTCATTAGCCTGATAAGGCTCTTCTGTGAATTTAATTTGAGATAGGTGATTGGATGTGCACATGTCACTCTAGTTTTGTGCTATTTAATAACTAACTGGACATTAGTGAGTATAATGTAAGGTAAAAATTTCAAATCAGAACTAAGAAGCACAGCTATGACATTTAATAACATTGGGAGTATGTCAGATGGTTTCATTATCATGGCCTTAATTTTCTAATAAATAAAATGGGAATCATAGTATCTTTATTATATCACAGGCCGAGCACAGTGCCTCATGCCTGTAATCCCAGTACTTTGGGAGGCCAAGGTGGGAGGATCACAAGTTCAGGGATCGAGGCTATCCTGACATTTTGACTAACACTGTAAAACCTCATCTCTTCAAAAAATACAAAAAATTAGCTGGGTGTAGTGGCACGTGCCTGTAGTCCTAGCTACTCAGGAGGCTGAGACAGGAGAATTGCTTGAACCTGGGAAGCGGAGGTTGCAGTGAGCCAAGATTGCACCATTGCACTCCAGCCTAAGTGACCCAGCAAGACTCTGTCTCAACAAACAAACAAACAAAAACCTTTATTACCTATTTGGTTTGAAAACACATGTAAAATATCAAGTGCAATGTGATTATATGATGATTGGACTATAAACATACCTTCTTCATCATTACACAATAATTGCAGCATACTTTATATAGCAAAATATTGTCTACCAGATAAAAACTAGGATTTTTTTCTGATTAAGATAATACTAATGATTCATATACGCATGTGTGTTCATGCTTCCAATATTAATTATGTTTAAGCTTCTTTTTCATAATTTCTTTCTTACTAAGTAGAAACTCTCTTCATACTTTTTAACATTTATCCCTCCCTCCACATGTGTGATTTTAGAATATCGATTGGGTATATGTAAATGTTTCTTATGATAATTTTTAAGTTGTAGGTCAGATACTGTCATTTTGTTTGTGCTGATATCCCATTGTTTATACTCAATGTCTGAAACATAAAAAATTAGTAAATTTGTCATGAAAAGCATACCACAATGAACAATAATGAGAGACAGTATTTCTTACATAATAGCTATTTCCATATGAGCTCATTGGCCTATAAAAAATGCTTTTTTTCAACCACATAGGAGATCACATCTAGAAATTCTGGTTCTGAAATGGTTGTCATGAATTTTAACTTCAGCAGTCTCATCTGACCACTCTAAACAAAAATGGACCATCTGCCAGGATTTGTTAGTATACAGCCATCTCATTGATCTTTTCCAGAAACACATGCTTTCAATTATAATTCATCCTCAAATTACGAGGGTCTCTCATTATCTGCATAGTTTTTCTTGCTATGGTCCAACTTTCTATCAAATTGACTCACAACTTTTTATGGTCTAATGACCTTTTTTGAAAAAAACACACACACATTGAGACAACACTTCTGATTCATATGGTATAGTATACGAAATATTTTAACATATTTTTCTGTACCTAAATAGAAATATATAAAATATGTTCAAGTATTAGTAAATACTAGGAGATTTCTGATGCATTCCATAAGCAGATACTTAGAACTGTGCAATGCCATCAACCCAAAATAAACTATCAAGGAATAAGCTAATCTCTAAGTTCTTTATACTCCAGAATGCTTTGTAGAGTCTTGCTCTGTTGCCAGGCTGGAGTGCAGTGGTGTGACCTCAGCTCCCTGCAACCTCTGGCTCCTGGGTTCAGTGATTCTTGTGCCTCAGGCTCCCAAGCAGCTGGAATTACAGGCACTCGCCACCATCTCCAGCTAATATTTTTGTATTTTTTTAGTAGAGACGGGGTTGATCTCCCGACTTTGTGATTTGCCCGCCTTGGCTTCCCAAAAAGCTGGGATTACAGGCGTGAGCCACCACGCCTGGCCAGAATGCATTGTTTTTAAAAGCTAATTTTAGATATAATATGGTCAATTTGGCAATACCTTTAAGCCATCTAAGACAAATTTTAATTGCCAACTAAAGAAACTTGCCTAATAAGAAAAACATGATGTTGTTAAAAAGTTATTTTCATTTTCATAAGCTACTAAAACTACTTGTAACTCCTCAAATGAAAAATCATTATTTTCACTCATCATTCATATATACCATTCCATATTAGAAAGAAAAGCAATTTCATTAGCAATTACTGGCAAAAAGCAATTACTAGTAAAAATAAAAATATTACAACAATAGCTATAATTTATTGAGTTCTTACTCTGCTACAGGTATTGTAAAATGTATTTAATGCATGTTAAGGAATTTGTACCTCAAAACAACCCTATGATTTGGGTATTTTATCATGTTGATTTTACAGATAAGGTTTATGAGCCATAGAATTAAATAAATTTTCTAATTTCACATTGCTTACCATTGTGCTAATTGTCAGAGACAGAATTCACAATCAGAAAACCAAGCTCCAACCCATATTCTTTACTGCTATGCTACCTACTATTATGAATTATATTACAGTAATTCATAATTATTAAGTATTATAAATAATTGGTAATTATTAACTATTAATTTTAAATTATAAGGCGTCAAAATTGGTTTGATTCTCAGGTTAATTCTATGTTTTATAGTTTAGTGGTAATATGCCAACACTGACACCATAGACATTTATTAAATAAACGTTTTAAATTTCATATTGATTCAAACAAGATCACACACAACACAATAATAATGTGATTTACAAATTTTGTTATTTTCTTAATTTTTAAATTTTTCTAAGCCTCTATGAGGAAAATTTTCTAAAAGAATACTGTGCATAATTTAAACATTCTCTGTTCAGTCATGACTAAAACTAAACCCTGTATCCTCAAAACTAGCTCCTTTCTAGAAATTTCTTTTTGTCATTGTTAATAGTTTCTCTGAAACCCCCATTTGTAATCTTGCAGTGAGTTCCCAGAGTGGGGGCACAGTGAAAAGATATGGCTTATTATTAAAAAATCAAAAACTAATGAATGTTGACGTGGATCTGGTGAAAAGGTGATTATATACTACTTATATGCTCATATGCTTATGTACCCCTAGTGGGAATGTAAATTGGTATAACCTATATGGAAACCAATATGGAGATTTCTCAGAGAACTACAGGTATTTCTACCATTCTGTCTAGCAATCTCACTACTGGGTTTCAATTGAAAGAAAAAGAAATCATCATATCAAAAAGACACCTGCATGTGTATGTTTACTGCAGCACAGTTCACAATTGCAAGGCTGTGGTACCAGCCTAAGTATACTTCAGCCAATGAATGGATTAAAAAATCAAATATAGTATATATACCTCGTGGAATGCTACTTGGCCATAAAAAATAATAAAATATCTTTTGCAGAAACTAGGATGGAACTGGAGACCATTACCCTAAGTGAAGTAACTCCAGAATGGAAAACCAAATACCATTATGTTCTCAAGTAGAAGTGGGAGCTAAGCTATGGGCACATAAAGGTATACAGAGTGGTAAAATGGACATTGGAGACTCTGAAGAGGGTCGGGAGTGGAGTGAGAGATAAAAACTACATATTGGGGCCGGGTGCGGTGGCTCACACCTGTTTTCCCAGCACTTTGGGAGGCCAAGGTGGATGAATCACAAGGTCAGGAGTTCAAGACCAACCTGGCCAACATGGTGAAAACCCATCTCTAGTAAAATTACAAAAATTAGCCGGGCATAGTGGTGCACATCTGTAATCCCAGCTACTCAGGAGGCTGAGGCAGGAGAATCGCTTGAACCAGGAAGGTGGAGGCTGTAGTGAGCCGAGATTGTGCCACTGCACTCCAGCCTGGGTGACAGAGCAAGACTTTGTCACAAACAAACAAACAAAAAAAACAAGCTACACGTTGAATACGTTATAATATACTACTCACTTGGATGATGAGAGCACTATAATTTCAGACTTTGCCACTCTACAATTCATTCATGTAATTGAAAACAACTTGTACCCCTAAAGCTACTAAAATAGAGAAAAATATAAACAAAAATGATTCTGCTATAAAAAGGTATCCTTGAATTAAAGACAATACACTTCTTCTCAATAGATTGAAGGAAAGTGAAAATGTGCCAATATAGATCACTTTTTGAAACAGAAATAGAAGTTTAGGGAAATTACACTGATAGTCTTGATTTTTCTTAGCAAATTTGGAAGCCTAGCTATATATTGAGAGAGAGAAAAGTGGATTTGAAATAGTCATTGTGGCAGATAGAAATAGATATAAGCAGAATCAGGTAAAATAATATCATAAGAGTACCAACAGCTCAGATGAGCTCAGAGACCATGGCCTGATAGTGGTGCTAATTTTTCTGTCCATCCATGCCAAGCAACCTAGTTATTAGGAGAAGAGAGAACACGCAGGTTGTGTAATCCAAGGTTGAGGATTTGTAAGGAAAGAACTTCAAGGGAACAAATGACCTAGGAATTGAAGGTGCAGACAATAAGTGGTTGAAATCATGAAGTATAAGGCTGATGAATCCAAAATTCTTGGATGTGCAAAAGGATACAATTATATTAACAACTAGGGTTTGGTAGAAAAGAGTCTGAGTTTCTAAATAGCATCAAATAAAGCATAAGGAAATGAGATTTGCTACGATGAAATAGATTCAAAGTAGAAATAAAGGGGAATGACAAGATTTGAGGTCTGGTCACAAGAATCAGCTGCAGTGAGCTCTGTATTTGTCAAAAGGTCACACATAGTTGGCAGGGTATGGTGGCTCCCAGCATTTTGGGAGGCTGAGGCAGGTGGATCACTTGAGGTCAGGAGTTTGAGACCAGCCTGTGTAACATGATGAAATCCCATCTCTATTAAAAATACAAAAAAAAATAGCTGGGTGTGGTGGCACACACCTGTAATTCTAGCTACTCAGGAGGCTGAGACAGAAGAATCACTTGAACCTGGGAGGCAGATGTGGCAGTGAGCCGAGATTATATCACTGAAATCCAGCCTGGGTAACAGAATTAGTCTCTCCCAGAAAGAAAAAAGAAAAGAAATATTCAATTCAGAGTTACTTGTTGAATTCATCAAATGGATATCAAAGTTGTCCAAGGTGGTATCAGACCTTGCAACGGAAAGAACTTTAGTGAAACCAGTGATCAGTGACCCACAAGAACATGGCCAGGATGCCATGTGATTATTAAAATGGAGACTTTTTACTTGCATGGCAGAACACTCAAAGGCAGAACACACATACATGTGGGAAAGGAAAAGTCTAGGTTTATAGAAAAGTATCAATGCTTACCTCTTGTTCCAATGGCATAAAACATATGGGAGCAAATAGTTTCACTTCAGGAGGGCGGCATCCTTGGATAAGAACCTGATTTAAGTGAAGAACAGTGGTTAAAGGGAAGAGCCTTTGAAAGGCTACAATTGTAGAATTGTTCTTTTAGTTTTAATGCAGCATGGATTTTAACAAGCGCAATAGAGAATTTTGTGAAATACTTTTGGGAAGGAAGTGTGAAATTGTGAAGTGAGGATGAGTAGTTGTGTAAATACGTACTACCCTGGATGGTTGCATTAGTCCGTTTTAATGCTGCCAATAAAGACATATCTGAGACTGTGCAATTTACAAAAGAAAGAAATTTATTGGACGAGAATTCCAGGTGGCTGGAGAGGCCTCAAAGTCATGACAGAAGGTGAAAGGCACACAGGAGCAAGCCACATCTTACATGGATGGTAGCAGGGAAAAAGAGAGTTTGTGCAGGAAGGCTCCTCTTTTTAAAACCATCAGATCTCATGAGGTTCATTCACTATCTGCAGTAAAGGCCTGCCCCGATCACTCAGTCACCTCCCACCAGGTTCCTCCCAGGACTCATGGGAATCGTGAGAGTTAAATTCAAGACGAGATTGGGTGGGGACACAGCCAAACCATATCAACGCTCTTGCATTTTAGTAGTGGCAAAAGAAGTGAGGACATCTATATTTGATCTAAAATTCTGTAATAAATTTTTACTTGATTGTTCAACACACAGATCTCAAGTAGTTATAAATCTATACTGTTTAGTGTGTGATTCACTCAATTTGGTTTTTAATTACAGAATTATAGTGATCCCGAAATTTAAAGTTGTAAGCATACATTTGCCAATATGTAGGCTTACATTTTTAAATTAGTGGATCACAATAATTTTGTAGTTCAAGTTCATGATTAATTTTATCCAATTAAATGTATATTCAATTGAATACTGATTAATAATTTTCTTTACATTTCTAATAAAAATTCACACATTCTTATAATTTTTGAAGTGTATGTCAAAAATGGTAAATATTGCCCTTCACTTAACTGTCATGATTTCCTTGTTTCATTTTTGTTTTTATTAAAAGAATAAAAGATCTTATCCAAAAACATGTACCATAGCCATTAAGCAGAGATATGCCTTTCTAGCATTCCCTAAATTCTCAATGTTAATCGCATGATAGGGGAAATGATCAAAATACTACATTCCTACAATCATGTCACCTATAATATTGTCGATCCTGTTATGTTGTATCTCAGCAAATATATATCAGAGAAATTACAGAACACACAGCTTTTATCAACTCTGTTTTTTCTGAACAGAAATGTTTCTGAACAGAATTAAAATGTTTTAATACAACTGGAGTGACCCCAGGCCCACCTTCCTGTATCAGTCCATGGGAGGGAAACATGAAAATAGATTTTAAAAAACCTAGCACATCAAGAAAAAATATTTTTTCTAACATTTTATTATAAAAATTTTTAAACACACAGCAATATTAAATAAATTTACAGTAAACAGCCATTACCTAGATTTTAAAATTTATATTTTTATATAAATGCTTTATTATTTGGCCTCCCAAAGTGCTAGAATTACGGGCATGAGAAAAATAAATAAATAAATGCTTTATCAAATAAACTTTATTCTAGTCAGTTACTAACACATCTTATTTTTGGTGCTCTTCAGAGTTGCAGACATCACTAAACTTTCCCTTCAATCTCTCAGCATGTGTATAATTAACTAAAGCTCCTTGGCTCAAGTGCTTTCTTGGCCCATATCTTGGCCATCTTGTGAGCCAAACATATGGTTTCTCTTTCTCTCTCTCTCTCTCTCTCTCTCTCTCTCTCTCTCTCTCTCTGTGTGTGTGTGTGTGTGTGTGTGTGTGTGTGTGTGCACATATCACAAAAATGCTTTATAGATGTCTAGTGCTATGCTTGATACCCTATAAGTTTATATGTATCACATGTGTAAAACAACTTCAGTTGCCAATCCTAACAATTAAACAGAGCATTTTGTTACTAAGTTTTCTGAAAACCTTTTTAAAACACTTATTTTTGTTGCTCTGCATATGGGTTCATATTTTAGTCTGATTTTATAAAAAAGACTATCTGCTTTAAGCAGGATGTTCTCATGCATTTTTGTTTCTAGTGGTGTATTTTATTTCAGATCTTTTTATTCCCTATAAATTACATAGTATCTTAAGACAGCAGACTTCCTGCTGGTGTATGAACACGAAGGCTAAATGCATTGGCTCTTATTAGACATGACCTAATATTGTGTGAATACCATTCCTCATCCTGTGACAGAAAATGATTTATTTTCTGCCAATCACGGTTGTATTTAATTTCAAAATTCATTAATGATCTTATTAATCAAAGCGTTACTATTTTGAATAATTTATGTAATAATGCAGTGGCACAAGGAGAATAAAATGTCAAGTCCTGTGTTTGTCAGGTGCACTGAAGTTGTTCTGAGGCCAGATTTTGTGAGTTGAGTCATATTCAAATTATAGGATGGCTAGTTATAAAATCATTGACCAATTACAATAAGCTCCAGCTTATAAACCTCATGCAGAGTCAGTCCTCTAATGTTTTACCTCCAGGATTATAAACAGGTCTGGGATACGCATGGGGATGCAGCAGGACTGCACGGATGGCAGGAGACCCCCACAGGCTTGGAGCAGGCTACAACTTGACAAATAGGAGATAATTCAACATTTAAGCCATTGCTCCAGCTCTCCTGGTGTGTATTGCCTGAATGTTAGGCCCACTGTTTAGATGAAAATCTAAATAGGATGCTTTGTATTGAAACTGTCCTTTCATTAGAGTTCAGGAGCAATGCCAAAGAAAAAGTTGTCTTTTCACTGTATTTAATTATTTTCTGGACTTTGTGTTTTTAAAATGTCATTGCACATCCTGCTCTCAGGGACACTGCTCTTTCCTCTAGCGCAGGGAATGTGATATAAGTTAGTCAAATGACTGAATGTTGAAATAAAGATAGATCAGTCAGGAGAGACAAAGTGATTAGAGGATGAAAGGAAAATAGATGAAGGAAGGTCAGTTAATCATGGTATTTCTTGTTATAATCTTAGTATTTTCTATTGCAATCAATTAAAAATAAACAGCAGTTCATTAAAGGAAACAGAAGGCATAGGGATTATCTCAGCAACACACAAGTCTACTAAAGTGGTATTCTCTAGAAAGGAGAATTTTCAACCCTTTATGTGCCATAATGTTTACTAACGAAAAGTTTTCTTTCACGATATATTCACCTAATAGCACCTAATAGTGAAAAGAAACTCTGATTCTTTTCACTGTCTTCTGGAAGGTAAATCTTTTATGTGTGTGTGTGTGTGTGTGTGTGTGTGTGTGTGTGTATACATATGCACATATATATATACGCATGTATACATATATACACACATA